AGCTTGCTCCCCCCTCCCTATGACTTCCCCTCACATATTTATACATGGCCATAATGTCTCCTCTCAGCCTTTTCTTCTGAAGACTAAACATGCCCAGCTCTTTAAGCTCCAGACCCTTGATCATTTTAGTCACCTTCCTCTGAACACATTCCAGCTTGTCAAGATCTCCCTTCAATTGTGATGCCCAGAATTGGACACAGTATTCCAGAGGTTGTCAGACCAAGGCAGAATAGAGGGGTGGCATGACTACCCTGGATCTAGACCAGTGGTTCTCAACCTGTGGGTCGCCAGGTGTTTTGGTCTACAACTCCCAGAAATCCCAGCCAGTTTACCAGATGTTAGGATTTCTGGGAGTTGAAGGCCAAAACATCTGGGGACCAACAGGTTGAGAACCACTGATCTAGACACTGTGCTCCTATTTATGCAGGCCAAAATCCCATTGGCTTTTTTTGCTGCCACATGACACTGTTGGCTCATGTTTAACTTGTTGTCCATGAGGACTCCAAGATCTTTTTCACACGTACTTCTCTCGAGCCAGGCATCATCTGTTAGGGATGCTTTAATTATGTATAGTTCAATCCCCTGCCTACATGGCCCTTGTGAGCTCTTCCAGTTCTATGATTCCTGAAAACATGCCCAAACAGGAACAAAACAATTTGCAAAACAATCCTGAAATATTTAAAAATGAAATCTCCAAGGACTGAGAAATGATTCTCTAAGTTTAAATACATCAAGAAAGACAAATGGATTGCAGCAAGCTCAGTCACAATATTCAAAGCAACAACGCTATTAACAAATGGTATTGGCGAACATAAAGGATTCTAAGGAAGCAATAAATAAGTTCCAGAATACTGAAAAACCTTTATGAGAAAAGAATCAAATCAAGAGGAAAAGAATGAGAGAGAGAAGGGGAAGGCAGACTTGGACAGGAAGATGGAACAAGAAAATTAGTTTATTGGTAACACGAGTCATGCATTTATTGTCACAAAGGCCAAAGAAAGATGAAGAACAAGATGAAATGCAAAATACACACAATGTATACAACAGTAAACCAATATTTCAATAGGGACTTGGCCAGTCTTGGGTATTTTGTCATATAGAGTAGGAAACATATTGGGAATTCTGCCACACTACAAGAACCAATGAACAACTAGATGACTTCTGGAAGCTTATCCTGTAGGAGCGGCCAGTGGCACACTGGGTTAAACCCTTGTGCCGGCAGCACTGAAGACCAACAGGTCGGAGGTTCGAATACGGGGAGAGTGGAGATGAGTTCTCTCTGTCAGCTCCAGCTTCCCATGTAGGGGCATGAGAGAAGCTTCCCACAAGAATGGTAAGCTTTCTTAGGATGCTTGCCATAGATGCAGGCGAAACTTCAGGAGAGAAAGCCTCTAGATCATGGCCATATAGCCCGAAAAAACCTACAACAACCCACAAATTCATTCTTATTGTTATCATTAATGATATCATCTTTGTTGGTAAGAGGACTGAGAACTGCATTCCAAGAGCAATTTGGGTTTCCTAACTTTCGTTCAAGTTGGGGTATGAAAGAATTGCAACATATCTTTCCTAAACTGATAAGGTGGCTGAGTTTTTTGGACTTCTCCCCAGTTTTCCTTTTTCAAAAACACCCCCACACTGCTAATAGCAGCCCATAGCTCTCTTGGCAGATCTTGCTGTCTCGTTCCTGGAATGTTATGGGAGTATTGTTATGGGAGTACTGTGTTTCAGTTCGTATTTGTTTGGGCTTGGTTTTGTGGTCTCCTTGTTTTTGGGCTTGGTTTAGTGGTCTCCTTGTTTTGTCACTCCCAATGAATACTGAACAACATCTGGGCAAGATAATCTGGATTACATCTCTAAAAGCAAACTCTGCCTCTTCTTCCATGCTGACACAGCCACCACTGAGATATCTTTTACTAAGGTCCACAAGTCTGTAGGTCGTCCCTTTACCACCTGCTTTGCCTATCTGCCATTCTCCTTGTTAAAAGCTTATTTTTAAAACACACAGAGATATGATCAGTTGCACAAAACCAAGCCCAAACAAATACGAATAAAAAACAAAGAAAGCTGAAAGCACTGTAAGACATCCAACTCTCAGCAGAGAAATGGGACACAGGAGTGAAAGTAATACAGGAGACAGCAAGGTAGACTATGAAAGGTCTAAACATGGAGTTTCATCTGCCACAAGAAAACAAGTGAACCAAAATTTTAGGGGTGGATTTTTCTCACTCCCCACTTTATTTATTTATTTATTTATTTATTTATTTATTTATTTATTTATTTATTTATTTATTTAGGGCTTTTATATCCCATCCTATCTCAACCTCCACAGAGGGATTCAGGGCAGTTAGCATGGAGTTCAGTTATAGACACTATGCTGAACATCTAACAGGCAACTTTCTAGACTGCAGTATATATGAATACATATAGTTGAGTTACTATAAGAAAATATGTATCCCTAAAATCTTTTTTCAGCAATTCACACAGTGTGTTGTTTTTTTTTTGCCCCAATCTCTGAGAATGGTAAAAAGAACTGAAACACACAGGCATACAGGGGCATTACTCAAAACTATTATTGTTTCAGATTATAATATACATAGACTGAGGGCCCTTCCACACAACCATATAACCCAGAACATCAAGCAGACAAGGCTTTGAACTGGGTTATCTGAGTCCACACTACCATATAATTCAGTTCAATGTGGATTTTATACAGTTGTGTGGAAGGGGCCTGAATGGTCTAAATACAACTGTAATTTTCAATTAGACTTATGAATTAATGGCATTTACATAAGCATTGACTGAACAAGTTTCTACTAATTCACTGGGTTTACTCTAGTTAATTTGAACAGTTGGATTTAAGCCACAGTTAAGAATTGTTTGGCTGTCCAGATGCTGATGGAATACAACTTCCATCAGCCCTTGCCAGAATAGCCGATGAGGGTGACTGCTGGAAGGTGGGAGAGAGCAATAACATTTGGAGAGCCACGTGATTCCAGTGTATGCAGCTCTGCAAAGTTTAGAAAAAGGAAACAGCCAACTACTGGGCCCAATTCAAGGTGGTGGTGTTGGCCTACAAAGCCCTAAACGGTTCCGGCCCAAAATACCTGTCTGACCGCATCTCGGCCTATGAGCCCACGAGGACTTTGAGATCGTCTGGGGAGGCCCTTCTCTCGATCCCACCTGCCTCACAGGCACGCCTGGCGGGGACGAGGGATAGGGCCTTCTCGGTGGTGGCCCCCCGGCTGTGGAACACCCTCCCTGTAGACATCAGACAGGCGCCCTCCCTTATGACATTCCGCAAGAGACTAAAGACGTGGTTGTTTGAGAAGGCGTTTGACTAAGTGCTACAACAATTGGCAATGACGATTGGAACGGAACATGGATAACAAGATTTGGATTGTGATTCGATGATGAGACGTCGCGAATGATTTAGTGTAACTGTATTATTGATAGTGATGTTGTTTATTGTTGTTGTGATATTGCTTATGTTGTAAATTGTACCTGGTTTTATATGTTGTACACCGCCGTGAGTCGCCCTAGGGCTGAGAACGGCGGTCTACAAGTGCAGTAAATAAATAAATAAATAATAAATAAATTAAAAGAAAAAACAAGATATGTAAGTTAAGTACACCCAGATGTGAAATTATAGCATTTTTGTAGAAAGAATGGCATCATATATTAATTGAGCAGATGTCAGGTGTTGTGATTCAATATTATTTGTCTCATCTCATCCATGCAGTGCCGGTTTTACTTTTGTGCACAGGGCCCTGTTGACCAGGGCAGCCCAACTTCCTGCCAAAAATATGTTTACAGTGGATTTTGCGTATGTGGTGCAATTCTAAATTTGAGGGCATTCTGTTTTGGAGAGATTCCAGGTGTAATTGTACAGTTTATAGTCTATGGGAGTTTGCCACAAAGCAGGCAGTGTAGGCCTACCAGACCTCCCTCTTTCAGGGCCCAAGTCAGGAGCCTCATAACTTCAGTAGCACAGGTTCTCATTTGTTCTAAATCCGACACTGTCTCCATGCCACCCAAAAACCTATTCCAGAATGTTTACTTGTCCTCTAAGTGCCCCTGGTGGTGCAATGGGTTAAACCCTTGTGCCAGCAGGACTGCTGACCAAATGGTTGGTGGTTCAAATCCAGAGAGTAGGGTGGACTCCCATCTGTCAGCTCCAGCGTCTCATGCGGGGACATCCTCTAACAGGATGGTAAAACTTTTGGTGTCCCCTGGGCAATGTCCTTGCAGATGGTCAATTCTCTCACATCAGAAGTGACTTGCAGTTTCTCAAGTCACTCTTGACACACAAAAAATCTTCTCCTCCAGGATAGGTGTTGAGGACACCTCCCTCGAAATCCATCATTGCTCCATCAGTGAAGCAGCTGCTGGATTCTGCCCAGCAATTTTCCAGTTTTAACCAGTATAAGTCATAGCTCTGTTCTTCAGCCCAGAGGATACTACACAGGTAAGTACAGACAGACCATGTCAACTGCACGATTCCTTAGCACTGGCATTGGGAAGAAATAGACATACCAAACTATTTTACATCTTTTTGGACTGAGGGCTTTGGATTTGATTAATTATGTCCCTAAACCCTAAAACCACATATGATTCTATTTTAATGAGTTCTTTGGAAAATAAAGTACATGCCTCTTAACTCCAAGGATCTTTGAGAAGCATGCTTCTCTCTTCTGCCCATAAACCATCTATTTGACAGAAGCTGGGCTGGGATTTTTACATTTAATTTGTGCCTGCAAATTATTCAGACTAAGAGTAATAATTGTGGCATCAACAGAATCCTAAAACAAATGACTGAACAACAGCACAGGCTTGGGAAAAATGCTTACAAAGACTACAAATTCTGGGACTCCGTCATCACGCTAGCTGAATAATGAGGGGAGATGTAATCCAAAGTTATTTTCCAGTCTCTGCACAAGCACAAAATGGAAGGCCAGAATGTGTAGGATCTTAGAAAGTTTTCCGCTTACAATACTTACATTTTCTCTAAAGATAAATGCCAGGATTGCAGCTGAGAGTTCGGCTAGGAAGATTAGCAAAATAAACATGAAGAACTGAAAGAGAGAGAAGGGGAGAGAAAGATAAATCATCATGTAAACAACAGCAATTACAATCTCTGATATAGAATCTTTCAAACTCACCAAAATGATAGAACAAGATGAATTAGGCAAGTTTTGTCATTGCTCATAAGAAACTCTAGCTACTGGGTTTCCTACCTAGGCAGTTCCCAAGTTATGAACAAGATAGGTTCTGTAGGTTTGTTCTTAAGCTGAATGTGTAAGTTGGAACAGGTACAATTTTTTAGGCATAATTCCAATTTGTTTTGCTGTTTGTGCCCCTGTTCAAAAAATTTCACCTCACTTTCTGGATTTTGTGATAATTGGATTTTGAAACATTTGTCTTGTTGTGGAAACAACAATTGGCAAGAAAGCTTCAGTGGAGACACCTTTTCCCCATGATAACTCTTTCAGGAGTAAATTTCCCCCCTAGAGGTATATTTTTCTCACTTCCTATTGCCTCACCCTCGTTCTTAACAACGAGTTCTTAACTACGGATGTTTATAACTCAGGGACTTCCTGTAAACAGGTTGGGCATTCCTTCTCCAGAATTCTAAAACAAAATAAACCAGAATTGTCCATTTGAATGGCTGAGAAAGTAACATGTTTGCTTACTAATGGTAAAATGTACACATTATTTTCATGTACAAAATTAGTACAAAGTATTGTATAATATAACCTTCTGGCTATGTGTAGATGTGTATATGAAGCATAAGGGAATTCTGTGTTTGGATGAATCCAATATACAAGACATCTAATCATGTACATTTATGCAAATATTTAAAAATATGAAAGGATATGAAATGAAAAAAATCTGGTCCCAAACTCAACCTGTACTTCATAATAAGATACAGTGTGATATAAGTTTGCTTGTGGTCACATGCTACCTAGCTACTGTAATTGATTGACACATGTAAATCTGTCCTTTTTTAATTTTGCTATGATAGCCCCAAATTTCCCAAATCCACTGAGAAATGGAAGATTGTAAAAACTAAAGGTTTACTTTATGAGCCATTCAGTCTGATGATCACATGGAACATATGCTACTTCTTTCCTACTGTGTGTGACTAGAAGCTCTACTGGAAGCCCTGTGACAACACTTACTGGTACAACTAACAGACTGCTCTGCTGTTCTCCACTGTATGGAGCAATTTAGAAATTTTATGCAAATATCAACAGCACAGATGCAATTCATACATACACAAAGAAAACATAGAGTGACACATAAGAACAGGAGTAAAAAACATTTCTTCCAATTCAAGGTAGCAACCTCAAATCTATCACTAGCTCCCGGGGAATGAACAGACTGCCTAGTAATTTTATTTGACCTCTGCACATATTAATTTTCTGGTGGGGGCACATAGGATCTATTTAATCATACATTGTTAAGTATCAATATCCCATTTATTTGTTATTTAACAATGTTAATCACCTACATTATAACTCCTCACCCACCTTTGTAATTACTGGAAACAAGTTTGCTATGGAATAAATTTTATTGAAGATCTAGGAAAACTGGGTTAGATTATTTCATAGACTAGCCTAATAAATTTCCAAGAAACCGGAGAACTTCAAAGTGTATGAAAGTTTAAGTCCAAGAGCTAAAATAGCTTTAGGGGCTGGGAGGCTCGACATAACTTGATGCAACATATCAGATGCAGTAGCAACATTCTTATAAAAATATAACATGAAAAAGTAATCTCTGTTCAGAAAGATGCTCATGTTCAGAACTTTCCTGGGGATGCGTGTTTCTCTCTTGTCTCTCCTCCATGCCTTACACTTGTCTCAAGTTTATACTTGAGCTAAAAGCTTCAGGCATTCATTATGTATCATTTTGAAATCTCTTTCACGAAGCTGCCAGCTCATCTATTTTTCAAAACTTTGTAGGGGGGCTTGGATTTTAATCAGTACATGAAAATAACACCTTTTCTTTACCCCGGCTTCAGATAACAGCCAGTCATTCCATCTCAGCTCGTTGAAGACAATGGAAAATCTTCCAAGGGCAATATTTCCATGACCAAGTATTATTTTGCATAGGCAGGGTTTTTTTTGGGGGGGGGGGTTGTTTTTTGGGGGGTTGCTTTAACCCCCTTTCTGGAAATCCTTGTGGGTGGCCCTCCATCCATCTCTCTCTCCTCCCACAAACATTTCATTTTCAGCCGTCATTTGTCCCATCACTTTGTTCTAATACTACAGTCTCATTCATGCTGGCAGAAGAGCAACTCCTACTGCACTAAATGGGGCATATTTCTGAGTAGCTCTGCTTAGCCTTAGACTTGGTGAAGCACTCCTTGGTACAGATATTCTAACAATTATGACTCCTCTTGTTTTGAACATTCTTTCTGTGCTGAAGGATGGGTTAGGACTGAGAGAAAAAGGTGTCCAGAAGTGAGACAGATCTATGTAGGATAAGAAGGATCAATGTCCAACAGAGAAGGGATGGTGAATGAGCACACATACAAGCAAGACAAGTGGACCTTCTTGTTGAAGAACAAAAAAACAAACAAACGCAAGACTCCATTCTTGGATTATGTCTTCCAGGATTACTAGTCAGCATGGCCAAGCTGGCTGGGAGTTGTGGTCTAAATAAATAATTATTTTGAGGCAGGAGAAATCACTGCAGTTGTCTCTATCAGTTGGATCTTCTCCCTCTGTGGCAGTGGTTCTCAGTCTGTGGCCTACAACTCCCAGAAATCCCAGTTAGTTTACCAGCTGTTAGGATTTCTGGGAGTTGAAGGCCAAAACATCTGGGGACCCACAGTTTGAGAACCACTGTTTCAAGGTGCTAAAAGAGGGTAGGATGCAGCAGAGTACACATGTAGAGAATCAGCACCCAGTGGGGGGATGAAGGGATGCATTGTCTGTCAGCTGACATCATTATGTATATAGACAGTAAATCTAGATAGGAGGACAGATACTTCACCATTGCCTCATGATGTCTTGCTCTGAGTATTAAAACCACAAAATAAGTACTATGGGCAAAATAATACAAAATAATATCCTTTGTGAAAAATGACATTGTTGTCAATCCTAGCCAGATGAGCAGATAAAAAAGAAAACTGTATACAAAAAGGTTAGCCGTACTTACAAAGAGAAGGAGGCATTTGTTCTCACGGATGGCTCCACAGCACCCAAGGAATCCCAGCAGGAAGAGCATCACTCCCATGGCCAGCATGATGTATGCCCCAGTGAAGAGCAGAGGATTAGTAGCCACTATCTCTCGGAATCCAGTGGGATCTACTATGACCCATATTCCAACTCCTAGTAGACATGTACCACCCAGCTGAGAAAAAAGAACGGATTTAGAATCCAGATGTACATCTTGCTAGATTCCTCCAGAGATAAGAGTTTCAGCTAAATGATCTAACCAAACATATCTAGTGCATTATCAGGACAGCTCTCGAGAGTAGAAATTTACCCTGCTCAATGAGTGCATTTGCCACAGTTTTCCCCATGGCTTTCTATTACTGGGGTTATTTATAGCAGAAGGCACCCACTTTTATTACTCTCATGTGTTAGACAGTCTCTTTCCTTGTAAAGCTTATCAAGTGTTCCACAGGTCAAGAAAAGCTGCAGGAATCTAGTGGGGGGGGGGGGGGGGGGGGGGAGGACGGGACACACATTATTACAGAGAGAGAAATAGCTCAGCATCATAGTAATGAAATGCACAGGCCTCATTTTGCAAAGTTTATTTTCCTTTGGGGTTATGAAGAGGAACTTGGAAGAGCTGTTAAGTGCCTCTTAATTTAATAAAGCATTCCTTCCCATCTGCTGTTAAATATGAACACACTACAAAATGCTAACTTTTAAAGAACTAGTCTGCTACATTGAACAGAGAGTACATTCTCACAATAGCCAAAATTCTACTTTATTCCTAATTTTGAGTCATTTGGATATATCTACACATTGTCTTGCCATTCAACAAATCATTTCATAGATATACTCTAGTTGGGACTAACATACAAAACAGGGGGTTTTTTTTAGCAGCAGCAACAATAGTATCCTCATAGGGAGCTGAACTTCTAATATACTTCATAGGATGGGACTTTGGTACAGGTTGAGCATCCCTTATCTGGAATTCCAAAATCCTACATTGTCCACTAGGGTGGCTTTTTTTAATGGTTCAATGTAGACTATGTTTCATGCACTTTAAAAATGTCATATAAAATACCCCCAGGTTATGTGTATAAGAGTTATATGAAACATGTTTAAATTCCATGTTTAGACTTGGGTCCCATATCCACAACATCTCATTATCTGCATATATGTAAATACAAGTATTTCAGGGGCTCCTTCTTTGGAGGCTTTTAAACAGAAGCTGGATGGCCATCTGTTGGGGGTGCTATGAATGTGATTTCCCTGCTTCGTGGCAGGGGGTTGGGCTGCATGGTCCATGAGGTCTCTTCCAACTCTATGATTCTATATAATCGGGAGGGAAAATCCAAAATCTCAAATAATTCTGGACCCAAGTATTTGATATAATGGATGCTAAACCTATACTCTACTATTGCTGCTCTTGCTATGATGACCATATTAATCATGCTAGTTTTCTGTAACCTAATACTGAGCAATCAGTATGATCTATTTGCAGATTTCGCATTCTTCATACAAGCATTATGGTTGTTGAACTAAAACCTGCTTCCAGCCAAGCAATGATGCAGCAATGTGGCATACTGTAAGAAAATCTATAGACTGCCAATGTATCCTGTGATTGGATAAGTGTCATGGTGGATAGCTAGGTCTAGAGTCCCAATCACTCTTGTATCTTGTTAGCTGTTAAAGCAACAATACACCTGTCATCAGCAATACTCAAACTCCATGAACTGTAAATAATAAGAGTATATGATTATTCTGCTGTTGTGTCTGAAATGGAAAGACTCTTTGTTTGTCATTTTACCATGTCTACGCCTCCCCCCCCCCCCCCCCCCAAATAGGGCCAGTACTGACAAATCTTAAGAGGAGAAATGAAAAATAAATGCTGTGACCAAAAGCCACAGAATACTTACAAATATGAAAAAATTGAAGACAAACATCAGGTACTTCATGCAGCTCAAACAATCCCCTTCCATGGTTAAAGGCTACACAGTCCAATTAATCCTGCAAAACACCAACAGCCCTTTAACACTCCCTTATTTCATCTTTGTAGTCTTCCCATCTTCTCACTTCCAAAACCCTGTGGAATTCATTATACATAAAGAGCAAATTTCCTATCTGAACGAGGTAGAATAACAGAGGTTAATAGGTAGTAATGATCACCTCCGATTCCCATCCTGTTCTCTTGCTGGTGTATCAGGAGTGATATGAAAGGTTAATGAGAAGCAGCTAAATGACTCACCACCTTTGTTCAAAAGATAGGAACCAAAGTGTCACTCCCTTCATGAATTAATACCTTCTTTTCATTTGAAAATTTCTCAGCCATCTCTAAGTATAATACAAAGCAGTATATATAGTGAAAGAAGCAGGAAATGGTCAAATGAGTTATGCTAATTTTGTTTTGCTTGATGTTGAAAATACATGGCCAGGGGTATCAACTGGGGAAGTCTTCCATTACTTTACTATTCTCCTTATGTTTTTTTTCTCTTGCCACAGCACTGTTGCTTCATAGAAAGAAAAGTGAAGTAATGAGCAAGTCTGTCAAAGAGCTATCCATAATGTTTCCATCCCTAATCCACTTTAAAGGTCAAACAGGTAGATTAACAAGATAAATTTTTAGCAGGTAGAGCCTATCAATAACATGAATCTTAATGAGGCGAGTGTGTCTGGTGAACCAATATACAGGGAGATTTTGTTCTGTCAATCTCAAATATCTGATAGAAACACAAAGAATTTTTATGATGTATATTTATAGTGCAAAGACTGCCAGGACAGAATGGTAAGTTTGAAAATAAATGGGCAACAGCAAAGGGGAAAGCAATGTAGTAGGCCCTTTACTTTTGCAAGGGTTAGGAGCATTCAACCCCTACAAAGTGGAAGAAAACTTTTATTTTGTTTACTTGAGGAAACACCTCTCTAGGAATATTGAGGCTCTGCATCTTGACTCTATGCCAAATAGACAATAGAGTCACCCTGGAGGATTTACTGATTCCCATAGAGAGCATATCATAAAATTGCAAATATGGAGGGCTGAATCCAATAGGAATGCACCAGACACATTTTTGTCCTATACACAATGAAGACACCCTGAATAGTTCTTTCAAATATTACATATTTAATGCTCTACTATATACCAACACTTCATGGATAAAAACTGGGACAAGCAACAAAATAGTGTGGTCAACATTGTAAAACTTGTTAATGAGAGAAAATTCACAACTATAACAGGCTGCAACAACGTATATTTGCCTGACCTACTGAAAAAGAAAATACCCATTGGATTAATTGAATACAAACTACTTTTGAACTTCAAAGTCAGTTGGGAGCAGCTCGAATTAAGCTGAGGGCAAAGAGGGAAAATGGAAGAAAGAGAGAGAAACTTGGATATTTTAAAGGCAGCTGAAAACATGGGATGATAAAGTATAAATCTGGACTGCCCTTCCCCAAGTGAGACAGTTGGAGGGCATGCACAGAGAAAAGGTAAAATGTAATTTTTTGATTTTTACATGGAAAAAGTAAGCTACAGAATCCACAATGAGGAATCATTCTCACATACCCCTCTTTTCAATCTATATAGGGTCATTAAAAACAATCACAGATATATGTAGTATTTCAAATTCATTCCTTTCATCAATGGAAATGTATGTTAAATTCATCCCTCACATCTGTTTCCCTAAGTAGCCCTTATAGCCACCATGTAAGCTAAGCCAGTATTGTATCACTTTATTACAGATCAAGAGATATTAGTTCCCTTGAGGGCAGTCACTGAGCATGCATTTGAACTGATATTTGAACAAAGGACTCCAAAATGCCTTCTCATAACTCCCAGCCCTCTCAGTCCTTTTTAACATACCACATTAGCTTTCTGGATGTGACATATGAGCAAAAATGAACAGCATATGATGTGAGGTATTAATAAATTGTTGTATTAGTAACATAATGCTTTAAGACTAAAATGAAATATTCCACTGAGATATAATTCCATTCAGACAAATATGTATGCTCATTGGGGTTATTATGAAGTGAATTCTATTTGTGGATGCAGCCAAAGGAAATTTATTGAATCAATGTTTGAATGATGAATCAATTCTTACATGATTCATTCCAGTTGCAACTATGAATAGGATGCAGGCCAAAGTATGGGTATTAATCACATTTGTGGCAAGGAGATGTTTACTTCATGTTATCGAGCCACTCTAACTGCCTTCCCCACGAAATAGTTATAATTGATCAAGAGGCTGCAAGGAAACGTATGATTTTTTTTCTTTCTATTTAAAACCTTTTCCAGAGGTCTGGAGTTGGGAAGTTTGAAAGCTTTAGAGGATCAGAAGCGGACCTAGCAGCAGCTGTATCCTACAAACACTATCAATTATAAACCCTTTAATAAATTGTATCAATTCTGTATAACTTGTATCTTTTATATACTGTGTACTGTATCAATTCCTTATATAAGAGTGTATAAAGTATCTTCTAAATATCTGTATCAAAATGTAACTTGAAGACAGCCACCTCATCCTGACCCAGTCTGCATAATCCATTAGGAAGGGGACCGTGGCAAAGATCTCCCTAGCTATTTCCCAAGCCAGATAATTAACAGACCCATTGTGTAGATATGTAGATAGATGATCCTCTTTCTAACAGCAAAAGCTCAGGATGTTTGTCCATGCTTGTCTTGAGGCTGAGAGTCTGCCACTCCCATGGAAGAGGGAGCTTAAGAGACGTGCATTTATTAACTTTCTATACTGGCAGCCAAATCCTTGATTATCTGAGATTAGCAACTTTGCCTTTTGAGTTTTACACTTTTTGCCTCATATGGAATTGAACACTTGAGTTCATAAAAAACTTATTAGCATATCCACATCATTGTTTCCTCTTGGACTGTGCCCTCCAAGGGGGTATCTTTACAGCTTATTGGTTCCTTGTACACACCAAACTCCAGCCAACATCCTTCCCACCACAGGAAACCCCATTTAAAGGCTGTGATGTCAAAGGAATCCCCAGCCTCCATTCCAGCCAATCAGGGAAGGGAGCAGAAAGTCTGAATAGCTGTCAGAACTGTATAAGATGTCATGCATTTCTCTGTATCTTTATGCTTGTACCTTTTGAAGCAAATTGCTTGCACTGGCATCGGTTTTTTTTTTTTTTTTTTTTTGCTGAATCATATTAAACCTCTGTGGCTTATCTTCAACCTAGTGAGTGTGTTTCTCTGTCCTGGCTGATCGGGCACAGACACTTTAACTGCAGTCCTAGCTAAAATCACTACATTTATAATGTGATGTGAGAAAAGAAGTAGGGTATTTATTACAATTATGTAATTGTAATAAATACCCAAGAGAAGGTCCAAAACCATACAGATCCAGCAGCTTTTTCAAATATTAAACTTTCATCTATCTTGGAAGTCCTTTAGCTATTCATTTGTTATGACTTGTGTACCACGAGGCTGGATGGTCTTTGTATTCTTTGTTATTCCCTAGGAGTGTTTGTATTGTATATTTTAGTTGCAAGGTTGCTATTTGGAATTGTATGGTTTTATTTTATTGTTTACTTTTTATTTTATTAGAAAGCAGAGGGGTTAGGCTATAAAGCAAAGCAAAGAAGTTGTGTTTCTGTACCCTTATATAGCTTTGGAAAGCATATCCACAGCTTAAAGACTGCATACCTTGTAACGGTAACATTCTTCATTCAGTTACATGCTCTGTTAGAAAAATGCACTTGATTCTGTTAGCAGCAAGGACAAAAATTATCTTATGGCATTGCATAGCATTTTTCACAGACCATGAAATAAATCCTTCCCTTTCAGTCTTCTGTTGTTTTTTCAGATCCAAAGAATGTGGAGCTGCTGTACATCAGGCTCCACAGTTCTTCCTGGGGTGACCATGGCAACTAATCTGCTTTAGTTATGCTCCTTGATGAACCCTTTAGCAAGCAGAAGGTCTCCTGAAGAGGGAAGAGGCATAGTGGATGTAGGTAGAGGGAGCCTCAGGTAAACAGCACAGCTCCACAGAGTATTTGCCTCGCTGAGCAGCATCTAACAGCTCTACAAATAAGATCTGGCTCTTTTGTGCATTTTATGCATGGCATTGTGTTTCTCTTGCCTATGTAGAACACAGCTGTTCAATGGTATCACTACACCTTTTATCTCCAAAGAATGACTTTGCTAGCAGGGAAAGTGGCAGAGAGACTCAAGTGCTGTGCGATTTTAAAGCACTTTTGGGTAGTCTCAGCATCTTGCAGGGAGATGGTGGGAAGAAAGAGTTGCTCTTTCTTCCCATCACAACAGGATTTTCATCCTATGGTCACAGAGGAGCCTTATGGAAATCCTGCCTAAGTGGCTGTGAAAAGCAAATAAATAAAACTCCCCACTCCACCCCATTTGAAAGGTTGTTTCCCATTCCAGAGAGATTTCTCTTCCATGTGCGAAGTTTATAGGGAAAAGGAAGGATTTAGGGACACAGATGTTTTTATATATTTCTATGCTCACTAGTTTCATCAGCATGATTTGAATACTTAGTGGAATAGCCTTTGGAAAGAAGAAAAACACTTGAAGAAAGAAGCAGGAAGTGTTTTCAAGAATAATAACAGGACAGTGGGGGAAGGAAGTTTGATACTTTGGACAAGTTAAAAGTGATAGCCTTTTCTAACTGGATAGTGGATATTTTAAATAGAAAATACTATGTTTAATATTAGTATTAAATGTACAGAATGGATTACCTCCTCTAAAACCAAACTTGTTGCAGTGTTTGCACTTCACCTATAAAGACTTAATTGATTGCATCTATGATGAATTCCAAAATATTTCTTTTTAAAAAAAATATAATCTTTATTCACCTTTTCAGTTACATTTAAGATATAAGTTGGTAGCTGAGGCTATCAGAGAGAGGTAAAGTGTGTGTGTATATCAAGTTCCCGAAACATGAAGAGATACAGTGCATAAGATAGGACAGACGAAAGAAAAAGAAAGAGAGAAAAAAAGAAAAAGAAAGGAAAATATATCTATATATCTA